ATTACAGAAAATTAAAAAAATTTGAAATAAAATCAAAATTTTGTAATGTTTACAAATTTTTACAAGCTAATATTGCATAAGTTTGTATCACCGATGCAAATTGGTGTATCACAGTGCCCGGATACAGAAAACTTTAACAAATTTGATACAGAAATTTCTAATTTTTCTTAGAGTGAATGATTTGGGGAGCATACACGCCGCGTTAGGACGTAAAACTTCAAGATCTTCTGCCTAGACTTTTGGGACTCAGCTCAGGCTAAAACGGTAATAGTTAGACTGCGTGTGAGAGAGAGGGTTGATTTTGAATGTGTGATTTAAAGAAAGTTTTGAAAGAGAGACAAAAAAGAGGAGACTTCAAGAATTCATAAATGTCTTATTTAAAAAATCTTAAATGTGTACTGTGCTTTTAACTTATGTAATTTCTTTAAGGATTGACTTTTTTCTTGACTTTTTAAATCGCGTACACCTTTTTAAGAGTCGTGTACCCCTCGGCTATGGCACGTTTCGAAGCTTACAGAATCCTTGTCAGTATTTTGCGCCAAGTGGGGGCAATTCTCGAGGGATTCCGGGGGGTTTAGAATGAACATTGTCAAATTCACCAACATTGCCCACCCGTGATAAAATGGAATGGATCCTGCCCACAGCGCGTGCGCACTGCGTGCATACCGCGTGTGGGTCGGTTTCATGCACAACGAAATTGTGCACAGGTTTCACACACCTGCGGCGGCCACCGAGGTTGTGTGCACTGCGTGCGCGCCAATGCGCGTGAAAAACTATGCAATTTTCAGTCATAAAAGTAATAGTCGGATTACATATTTGGAAAATTACATTGAAAAAGAGAATGCTTGAATCAGAGTCGTAACTGGCAAAGTTATTAGCCCCCAAGGGTTAAAATGTATGCAAATCAACCAAAGTTCCAATAAAGCGATCCGGTGAAGCTGAAATGCGGAAGAATGCGGGGAAGAAGAAAACGGAAATCGCTTTGCTTTAACATGGTGACTTCCGTTTTCTTGTTCGCTGCATTCTTCTGCATCTCAGCTTCACCGGAATGCTTTATTTGATTTGAACTCTGCCATTCCCATTTCGATTGTCTTCAGGCACAAACCCGCCCCGTGTACATACTGGATACGTCCCATATACGATCCATACGTGTATATACAGGTGATGTCTAGGAATCGTACATGGTTCGAGTATGATCTGTATGCCGTATGTAGTCCGTTGGCAACTGGATATGTGTACTCCAGTCCATACACTGCGTATGCAGCCTTACATGAACTGGTACGGTTCCGGTTCCGGTGTCGTGTCCAATATCACACTGCCGTATGTGAGCTGTATGGCCACATCAGGGTGCCGTATGTAAAGTATGTGTTGGCATCCGACTGCCTTTGTATGCATCATGACCACATGAAAACCACAAGAAAAAAACTTTGGTGATAACGCAATGCAGGCTTTCGTGCAAAAGTTATGTATTGCATTAATGAATATATACTGACAGATTAGTAAAGTGCTACCCCACCGCCATATCTAACCTAACAACATACTACCTGCTCTGTCTCCACACAGCTTCTTGGCGTATTGGCCTACCCGTACAGTTGCAGGTGTTACCTCGAGAAACTTTGGTAATTGTTTACTTGAGTGACTCCTCGCCCTGGAGTCACTCAAGTATACCATCCGAAAGGTATTTTTCAGTAGAATCCTGAACAGTATTTACATATTGGCGCTCGAGTCTGGTTTTCCTCAAAATTAAGTAAATATGCGTCGCCGCTAACCTTCAGATGCACTTTGAAGACGGGAGGATAACTTACGTTTACGGCTAGTCCTGACGTTGATCGCTCCGGCTGGGGGTTTTAAATCATTGCTCCTGCATCAAAGACTACGCCTGATTCATAATATCAGGCTTTCTT